TCCTTTACCCCCTTAAGGGAACCGTAGCCGCCACTTTATCAGCTGAGGTAGCCGCAACTTTATCAGCTGAGGTAGCCGCTACTTTATCAGCTGACGTAGCCGCCACTTTATCAGCTGAGGGCTTAGCCTTCCTCCTTGTAATGTTGATATGCCCATAAGTCTGGACTCTGGAGGGGTAAGTAAGGTATCGTCTTACTTATTAATACTGCCGTTGCACAGCTCAAAAATATTCTCTATTTTACCACAATCTTTTAAATCAAATTTAAATCTACGTCACGTTCAATTTTTGAATCAGACTAATAAAATATTTTTGTTCACGAAAGCAATATTTTTCCTATACGTTGGCGAATAAATAATCTTGCCAACAATTATTTCAGCTGATTGTTTTGTTTCAGATTTTTTATGATTCTAATACATTCTCCTCCAGATAAAGCAAGGCAGCAGCTGGGTAAAATGTTGCAAATATATATACAGGAATATTTCCAATTAGGCAAAACTGCCTTTTTTATGACTTTACATTCGTAGTTTAAATCTAAAAAATAACATTTAGTAAAACTAAAGTGAGCCCCCAAAAAAATTATCGTATTTTTGAATCCGTTTTATGCATTTAATTTAAAGTTTAAACTGAGAAAAATTGTTCTTACATAACTGAACAAATTATTTGTTGAAAGAGTCAAAAACATTTGCTTTGACGACATTTTGCTATTGCGGACCCAAGGACTTCTTGCTTTATAAAATTCAAATTGAGAACAGCCATAATTCTGATCAGTTTATGATCAAGGGTTACCCTCAACGAGGTTACAGAGGAAGTACGCTAATGCTTTAAAAGTTGTACAGGTTGTGTGCTCCACTCTCTCAAAGATCAATCTGTATACTGCAGTACGTGGGGGCATTTCAGAAAATAGTTTCTTTTGCTTTAACAGAAATTGGTTTACAATACAAAAAACTTAATGGGACTGTAAACATTTAATTTAAATTGATCTTTTCCGTTTATAGAGAGGCACGTAAAAATACCTGTAAAAGCTATGCCAGGAATGCATGATATCCATAATTTTCTCTTTGAAAAAGATTGGTATAACTGTGGTTTCTCTGGAAAGTGACTTGCGGAGTTTATACATTTGAAACAATGGAGGAAATGTTCAGAATTAAACACCTTTTGATCTACACAAACGGCTATATCTTCCATATTATTGATCACTAAGGAGTATCATTGTGAATAATATTGGTCTGCACCTTAAACTCAGGGCTGTGTAGATCTCGGTAATGTACTACTAAAGAATAGATGCCTATTTTATATTACACTTTAAAGGAAAACTTGAACCGACAGAAAACTGATAAATATCGAAAAATCTTACTAAAAAGTGGTATAACATTTTTCTTCATAAATCGTTATACAAATTTAGTGACTTTATTTCTAGGACTTTTTCAGGAAAAAAGTCTCAGGAATCTAAAACCTAGGACTTTATTTCCAGTTACATTTTGTTTTAGGACTTCAGAAAATGGGGACTTTTTTACCTAAGTTTTTATTTCCAGGTTTTTTTTCAGAAGCTTTTTTCCTGTGACATATATTCCAACCTGAATGCTTGACTATTATAAAACAAAAGCCATACAGATACTATGGATTAAAAAATTGTAAGAAAGCCCCCCCCCCCTCTTTTCAGAATTAAAAACTAATCCAATTTAAATTAGTTGAATTTAAAATTACAAGCGGCATTATTTTTCAATTTATATCAAGGAAATGTTTTGAATTGGTTCACTTTATTAGGGTAATGTTGAGTTGAATTGGTTCACTTTATTAGGGTAATGTTGAGTTGAATTGGTTCACTTTATTAGGGAAATGTTGAGTTGAATTGGTTCACTTTATTAGGGTAATGTTGAGTTGAATTGGTTCACTTTATTAGGGTAATGTTGAGTTGAATTGGTTCACTTTATTAGGGAAATGTTGAGTTGAATTGGTTCACTTTATTACGGAATGTTGAGTTGAATTGGTTCACTTTATTAGGGAAATGTTGAGTTGAATTGGTTCACTTTATTAGGGAAATGTTGAGTTGAATTGGTTCACTTTATGAGGGAAATGCTGAGTTGAATTGGTTCACTTTATTAGGAAAATGTTGAGTTGAATTGGTTCACTTTATTAGGAAAATCTTGAGTTGNATGTTGAGTTGAATTGGTTAACTTTATTAGGGAAATGTTGAGTTGAATTGGTTCACTTTATTAGGGAAATGTTGAGTTGAATTGGTTCACTTTATTAGGAAAATGTTGAGTTGAATTGGTTCACTTTATTAGGAAAATGTTGAGTTAAATTGGTTCACTTTATTAGGGAAATGTTGAGTTGAATTGGTTCATTTTATTAGGGAAATGTTGAGTTGAATTGGTTCACTTTATTAGGGAAATGTTGAGTTGAGTTGGTTCACTTTATTAAGGAAATGTTGAGTTGAATTGGTTCACTTTATTAGGGAAATGTTGAGTTGAATTGATCACTTTATTAGGAAAATGTTGAGTTGAATTGGTTCACTTTATTAGGGAAATGTTGAGTTGAATTGGTTCACTTTATTAGGGAAAACTTCTGACAAAGCTGGGTCTCCAATCTAGATTACTTTACAACTATTTCTTATCTTTTTTAATATTTCCAAATTTATGTTTTTATAAATTGCCAATAAATGCAATAAAGGAAATAACGATAAATGTTAGAGAAAAAAACCTTCTCATAAACTTATAGCAAATCAATAGCATTTTTAGTTTTCTTCAAAGTATAATTTGTATTTTCTTTCATACATACGGTGATATGTACAGTGATATGTACGGTGATATGTACGGTGATATGTACGGTGATATGTACGGTGATATATACGGTGATATGTACGGTGATATGTACGGTGATATGTACGGTGATATGTACGGTGATAACCAGAAAACTCTGAAATAGGAAGACGACTTTATCGCCATACTTGTGTTTTTTAGGTTGTTACTAAGCAAAAAGTTTTACCAGACACTTATTAAATCACTTGTTAAGTGAAATTTGTCTGTGTTCACTGTGCACTTGCTGTGTCCCAAGCTCATTGGACTATTTAAACTCATCAACTTGAGTCTATAAATCGTCTTCCTTTTACAGAGTTTTCTGGTTATCACTGTAATATTTGAATACAAAGCAAAAAAAAATATCTTTCAAATGTCAGCTTTATGTAGAAAATAAAACATTGTGAATGTTTTTTCCTTTAAATTATTTGAACTGAAGAGAGCAGCTGCAGCCTGCAGGTTAGAATTCCAGATGAAAGTGGGATGATTAATTGATATAAAGATATTCTCCTGATGTGTCAGAGAAAAGTTTAATTTCACATTTTAAAATAAAATGAAATATATTTCATTATTTTAATCTGGACAAAAATATATATCAAATGTACTTCCTGTTCAAAGCACTATAATTCTTGATATCGTGTTTATACCTACTCAAATACCCACAAAGATGGAGATTATTTTTAATGAGACTCTGGAAAAAATTAGATGAATTAGATAAATAAATAAAACCAATGTTTCAGGTCACCTATTTTTTAAAAAAAATTTGTAGTTTTACATACAAGGCGTCCCACGAAACATGTCAGTTGGTGAATAGTTTAGAAAGTTGTTTAATACCAAAGACAGTAATAAAAATACTATATAGGAATCATATTATAGTAAAATTAACTTCAATGTAAAATATATTCGATGTTTTAAACGAAATTAACTGCAAACAGCCTTTAATATCTAATACAGTGTAGGGAAGACGACATTCAATACTATTTACCAACTGTCATGTTTTTTGTGAGACACCCTGTATTTTAAAAATGTTATTTTACAATAATAATTTGTCAAAAGAAGTGGTCAAGGAGTCATTGTTGCTTATATATGGGCATTCCGATTAACATGGGATCTATTTAATGACTTTTTTCAAAAAGACTTTGTCCTCCAGTTTATAATATCATTTAATTGAATATATTTCAGCATTCTAAAGTTTTCATAATATTACAAAGTGTCAAGGAGCTTATACGGTATCTGTCATTAATCAGGATTAAATTACATGAAGGCAAATACTTTTAACTTAAAACTTGCTGTTCATCTAATCACAAATTATTGTCTCAAAATTAATCTTAATAATAGATTTAAACTTTATTTTTACTCAGAATATTCTTCATTTTATACATTTTAATTTTTTAGATTTGGACATTTTGTACTGGAAGTTGAGCAGATTAATCATTAACAAAAAGTATAACTACAATAAATACTATATTTGTTGGACTTATTTTTAACCAATTCTTCTCCATGCTTTTAATTACACTTAACAGGACTATAGATGTCATTTTTAATGACTTTCTAATTATAGAGTTGCATGTCTGATTCAAAGAAGTACTGATTAAACAGTAGACCAAGAAAATATGATGAAGCAACCCCTCTTATTTTTAATTTTTTTATTGCAATTTTCTTATAAAGTATTTTGAGGATTTACGCAGAAGAAAAGAAAGAAGGAATTAAATTCTTCTTTAAAAAAAATTTTTGTTGTAAATCAGACTTGCCACTCATGAATGGAGAGTCACTCAAAATTACACCTTCAGGCCCTTTAAAAATCAAAGGGAGTGTCTGCCTTGGAACCCCTTTCATTCAGATCACGCACTAATAAAGAACCGAATATTTTTTTTCCTAACAGTGTTTCTATGATGTGTAACTGATGAATGCAAGCCACCAACTTTTTCTAAGGTGTCTCTTTTATTACATAATAAATTACAAATCTATGTTTGCTTTTTTTCAACAAAAACAAAGAAAAAGCAGTTTGGATTTTTCAACCGAACTGCTTCTAAAATTCATATTTTATGACAGGTTATCTCAAAGAAATTTAACAATTCCATATGTTATGCTATAACTTTCTTTTGAAATACATATTACTAAAACCACTTTACCCTGTGGTAAAATAAAATTACCATTTTCAGAAAAATCAGTTTCAAACGGAAGATATTTTTAACTCAATAATATTAAATAATATTTATCTTTTATTTTGGCAACTTTTAACAAACGCAAAGAGAATTCTCAAAATATTCAAATTGATTTTTTATTAAGATACTGGATAGGAAAAAAACAGTTCTCTACTTGTGTCCAAGAAAATGAACACCTCCTTGCAAGCCACTCCCTTTAAGGGACAGAATCAGATGCGTAACTTTATTATAGATAGTCAATAACTAAAATAGTAACTACAGGGTTGCTCACAAAAGACAAGACTGCAAAGACGACCTGAAACACTTTAAATAAGATGATTCCAAGGTTTAATGAAGTCTTCTACTTGGAACACAATCTTTTACTTGCTTATTAAATGATTTTGCAAAGAAAGTAACCAATTTACAATCATAAACATAAGGAAACAGACAATATAAATCTCATACAATCGTATCTGAAGTCTCATCCTTTGTTGTGAGTAACCCTGTATATATACGTACATTATTAGGTTTTAAATCAAACTCCAAGAATGAGTTTATTAAATATTTTGTAGGGGGCAGCTTGTAATATTTGACAGAAAATATACAGAAATCTTTATGAAGAATCTTAAGAAAAGGCATAATTTAATATCACTTCATACACATCATGTATCATAAATATATAAATAGATAAATAGATAAGGAATTCAACTTCAACTTTTCTCTAATCAGTCTTTAAGATGGTTGAGAACAATTGCACTTCATGCACCTCCTCTCAACCTCTTCCCTTAAAAATACTGTTTTATTTGTTTACTCCGACGTTGGGATAACCCAAGGAAAAACATTAAAAGTGGTGTGCAGATTAAATAAAGAATTTTAGAAAATTTAAATTATTAGCCTTAGAGGGCGCTTCGCGCCCATCTTCTAAATTAATTGTGAACATGTTCTCTTTGTGTACATCGTAAAACAAAACAAAAATAATTCGCGGATTTTCACAAAAAATTTCGTGGATTTTCAAAATTTTAATGAAGATCGAATTTTGATGGAGACAAATATTTGAAATTTTGATCATTCATAAACCTTCCCTGGGGTCCCTAGATGTCCCACAAAAAATTTGGGCCCGATTGGTTCAGCCGTTTTGACGTTTATTGGATACAAACAAACAGACAGACAAACAAACAAACAAACAGACAGACAAGCCAAATTTATATATAGATTTCACACAGTGTTAATTCTTGCAATAATACTAACCCCACGCCACTTAAGTAGTTCTTTCCAAAAAAGAAGGATTTAATCAAAGGAAGATCTTGAATTTAAAATATTATACTATTTGCATGTGAGCCAACTGTAAACACTACCTTTCATTTTCTTGTGTCAGATTCCCATCCAAGTTTGTAAATGGATCTATATTGCTCAAAGATATAAGTTCATGTGGTTCATAATTTTCTTCAAAATTTATAATATGGTGGGACACATTGTTTAGTGTGATTTTATCACTGTTTATTTGCTTTTCAATAATCCATTGCCCAGCGCTCTGCTCATCTACAGTAGTCTGGGTCTCACTATCACTTTGCAACGAGAAATTGTACTGACTATTCCCTTTTGTCTGTCCGAAAGGTAAAATTTCTGTGTCTGGAGATGAGATTAGACTGATCCCAAAGCAAGATATTCCCCTACCCCTTTTCCTGTTTTGCTTAAGGTTTGGATCCATCCGCCTGGGTTTGTCTGGAAGAAATCCTAAACTTCTTCTTCTCAATCTTTTTCTTCTTCTTGCCATTATTGTTTGGAACCTCGATACTATAACATAGAGATCAGATTGAAAAAGACTCCAAATAGTGCAGACAAGGCAAACTTTTTTTCAATAGATTAATTTCTGGAACTACTGTACATTATGCTTTAAAGGGAATAAATGGCATTTGATGGTTTTTTTTGTTTAAAAATACAATATTGTAGAAAAAGAATTTCAGACCAATAATGTTTCTTAACAAACTTATGAGTGAATACTAAGTATAGTATCTCCAGGTTGGAAAATGCTGCAGAACATTTTGAATCAAGTTTTTACTTTCACTCAACAATTATTCAACATATGGATTCAGTATTGGTCTGAAATAAATCCTTATTACTTGATTCGCAATACTAAGTTTTCATGTAAACAACCTCTGTTTGCTAGTAACTCCCTTTAAAACACTATCTCTGAAAATGTAGACGGTAAAGATAAGATTTCTCCTTCACCAACTGAAAAAAATAAGCTGTGGCTTGAAAGTAAATTCACTCCTAGTAAACTGAGATATTTTCACTCCCAGGAGATAAATCTTGAGATACTTGAAAACTTTACAAAATAATTTCTTGGAGAAATTTTAAAAAGTATTAAAAAATATATTGTTAAGCAAAAAAATACAATAAGATCTAAAGTAGGCCTGATACAAAAGTTATCGACCTTAACAAAACCCGGGATATAATCTCAGTGAGATTTCTTGATAGAGGATAGAGAAGAAATATATTCATTGTTTTACTTGATCCCAACACCAACATCACAGATAAATATTCATGCTTCTCCACCCATGAAAGTTATGTAAGAAAAACATGCATAAGTCATAAATCTAATGTTGGTTTCAGGGCAATTTAAACTTGAGGACATTTCTCATGGATCTTCTTGTATATATTACAAGGAAGATACATCAGAAACCTCCAAAATAATATGCACAAAATACTTTACAGGGTTAGGAAAAAATCATCGCATTTTGTTTCAAATGCTGTACTAGTTAAAGCCATCAAAATTACGAGCATTTTGTCCTAAATTGTGGGGAAAAAAGTTAGGGATATTCCAATTTTTTACACAAAACACAAAATGTTAGTCATTTTGAAATGCTTTTGATAAGTGTGATATAATGAGAAAAATGTTATGATCTCTTCTACAATGTAATTTCAAGATGGAATGTAAATGACTCAGAGTTTGTGGCAAAGACTCAGTTCCTTTCTAGGATTTTCTATAAAATCTAGTTTGTCCCTAGATTCTATTTTTTTGGTTCAGAATAATATTGATTAACACTCAAAATTACTTTATTGTTTAGTTTAATATAATTTCTTTGAACCTGAAATTTGTCAAAAAACCTATGCCAAAGTTGGACATGTTTGGGATATGTTTTAAGTACTTCTTCCTTATATCTTAGAACCTGATGCCGTTTACCTTTTATATTACATTTGAAAATTAGAGTTTGTTTCAAACTTGCAAACCATTTAATTCCATAAAAATTGATTAGATTTGTGTATACTTAGACCTGAGATATTTGAATATAAAATTAAAAATTAAACTTGACATAACTTCTGCAAATCAAGTTTAACAAAATCATACAATGTTTGATGTATATAATTTTCACATGCATGGGATTTTTCATGTTGTGAAATTTTTGTTTTGGCATTTTTGAAATGAATTTCTTTACATAATTGCATAATTACATGTTACTTTGTGCAATAATCATAATATTCTTGAGTATTTTCTAATTCTAATTTTATAAAAGTTTACATCACAGTTATATGAAGAGTCCTTTTTAACCTAAAATACAGTGTTATCTAACTACTTACTCTACTGGTGTCGAGGTTGCTTTATTCTGTATCTTGAGTAGTTAAAGTAGAAGGTTTTGTATCGACTCTTCTGTCTCTCCCTTGTCAACCCTCTGCCAAACCCACAATCCTAACTTGGTCCGGAGATTGTAAAACTTGCAACAATCTTCAGATAGTTGGGAGGGACATTTCTCACACACAGTCATATCAAATATAATTTCTTTATACACTCTTAAACTGGGATTTGGTTTTCATACATTGAACAGATGAAATCAGAAAAGTCTTGTTACCAATTCATTAAAGTAAATGTTTGTTCAGTATTTCAAATATTCTTTTCATTTACATCTAAGCCCAGTTTTTAGACATTTGAGAAGCTGAAATGTGCTCTTAACACCATGCACGAGCTTAAAGGAATTGTTTGCCTACTTTAAGATACTCAAAATACCCTAGTTTTTATTTGAAATCTTTATTCAAAGACCGGGTAAAGGAATTGAGTCTTTGGAACAAAATCTAATATTTAAACCTCAATTTCTTTAGAACTCGATGTTGTAAACCTTTAATATTTCAAACCCAAATTATTTTATCTAACAGAATTCTTAGTTTGAAATATCTAAGGTCTGCAACATTTGGTTCCAAAGATATAGTGATTAGAAAATCAGAGTTTGTGGCAAAGACTCAATTCCAAAGTTTGTTTGTTTTGAAACTTTGCATAGATTGGTCCAACAATTTTTTTTTCTGTTTTAAATATAACAAGCAGACATTCCAATTTATAAAAAAACACATTTTTGGCTAAAAGTTTTTATCATTCTGAGTCTCAAAACGTTTTTGGGCTGTAAGATGGAATATAAGTTTCAAAAAATATATTTTGAGTAATTTTACATGAATACGGGGTGACAGGTATATTAAATCTCTTTTTTTCTTGGCTTGATCAATTACTAACTCCAGGAAGTTCAAGGTTGTTAAGTAGGAAGCTTACTCTCGATTCGCTTTATTGTTTGGTAAAAGTCGTCACTAAGGCAATGAAAATTTAAAATCTGCAAACGACGTCACTAATAATGGGGCAGTCTGCCTAGGGAGACGGTTTCAAGGTGCTCCGGCCAGTTTCATGTTGTACTCGTAAACCGTCTCCCTAAGCAAACTGCGCCATAATTGCTTTGAACATAACATTTCCAGTGTATTGGAGCTCATAGAGAGTATGCATTAAACAACCTCGAGGAAGACCCTTTTATGAGTTTTCATGTTTAAATATTCTAAAGGTTGAGAATAAAAGGTTAGGATGGGAGACCTGGGTTCTGCTTCTGGAAGGGATGGTTCCCCATTCTCAGGACATTCTGCTACAATCACAGGATTCCCTTCTGTATTCCAGAATTTACCAGGGGTCACTTGACTATTCTAAACTTTACCCCGGGGACCCTTACAGTGTACCAAAACCGGCTTAGTTCCCAAAAAATAATTCCTAGTCCCTTCAGAGGAGAACACAAATGTGTTTCCACAATACTAAAAGTTGTTGTAAATATAATTTAATGGCATGTATAAAGATTATACGCTATAAGGAATTTTCTAAGCGTGAAGGAAGAAGCGCATGCCTATGTACAATGAAGAACTTAAATATATTTTTACAAATTACAATGCAATCTTGCCAATTATATTGAAATGAGCAATTTGGCCAGTTTACAGTGTAATATTTGACCAGGGGTTCTATGGCTAAGATTCAAAAGATTGAAGATTTTAAATTTAAATAAATTGTAAAAATTTGTTATTTTAATTACAGTACAGCACCATTTTAGTTATTTTTAAAGAGGTTTGAACAATTTCATTTATTACTAAATGAGATATTCTGTCCAAATAAACAAACTTCATTGAGATTCATAAGATTTAAGAGAGGGGTGTTTTCTTTTGTGGAAATTCAGTATTTCAGATTTAAATGAAGTAATCATTGTCTTTGTTTGTTTGTTCTACCAGTCCTTGGTATCTTACAGAGGTTTGCTGTTGAAAGGTTAATTGAAAATAAAAATAGTCCTCGTCTTTGTAAAGAAAAAACTATATTAATGCAGGATAGGAAGTGTAACCCAAAGGTTTATGAAACCCTTTTAAGGTTTCCCTACCGTTTTCTGATTGTACCGTGTACGGAACTAAACCGGAAGAATCTATCTCATCAAAAGAATCATGGATATTTTGGAACACACCTAAAATAAATTTTTCAAAAATCAAATATTTTAAAGACATTAAATTATAAAGAGTAAAATAGTTTAACTTTTTTAACTGTGTATGGACAAAGATGCGTTCACAGAGGGTGGGGGGGGGGGCTATGGG